GTTGTTGGCACTGCAGAATGGACTGGAGGGTATAAAACCAGCCGGCTACAATTTGTCATTTCACAGCTGGCCAGGAAAGGGCTATGGGTGTAAGAGGTTGAAAAATAAGAAAACTGGACAACCCCAAAAAAGGACAAACAAGATAGACAAGAGGACTGGAATATGTCCTCCAATGCAAACCCTCATAATTCAACGTGGCATCAGTCTGTAATGACCTAGTTTTTTCTAGGTCGAGGCTTTGGATCCATATTTATTGCTTGGACCCTCTTGAGCCTTTGCTTTTTTGTGTCTTGGCTGAACAGCAGGCCTGCATGATGTGGAGAACATATGTGATATATTAACTTGATGGACATTCCCACTTAGGTTGTTGAAATGCTCTTTAAACAGTGTTCATGAGTATTCTAGCTGTGACAGAGATATATGAGAAATGTCAACTTGTGTGTCTCCAGATACTAGCCTAGATGTCCTAGCATTTTTATACTGTAGGTTTCTTTACAACAACTTGGTCATCTATCTTGCGTCTGCAGTTTGATTCCACTCAAGCTCCTAGCCAGTGTTTGGTTGTTTTTAAAACTTGTTTTATCTTGGAAATGACATTAGATTAGACTGATGTTGACAGAAATATCTGACCACGGTGTCCATTTATAATCTTCGTCAGCAGATTAGTTTTTGCCCAGTTGTCATGGCATTGTCTAAGTCTTTAAAAAGCTCAGAACATTTTAATCTCTCCAAACTAAGTAAAGTACCTAAATGTCCCCTTAAACTTCCAAAAGATAGCATGTGATAACCTAGAATATTGAAAAGAAAGTAAACCAAAATGATCATTCATTTAATTGTGACTGGCCTGATTTGATACCTGCATGATAATGCAGGATATAAACATGGGCTTAGCAAATTACAGTAATTAAAAACTATGGGCATGGACTCCTATTAGTTAAACAAACTGCATCATATCAGTCCTGTCAGAGGTGGATGATGCTGGCTGATCTCTTGATTTATAATGGAAGTTCAATATCAGCTTTGATACCTTGGTCTAAGCTTATAATCTCTAAAAAGTCCTCTAGTTCTAGGTCACCATAACATTCAATTAACCATTCCAGTGTGTTTTGCAAAGAGAATTACTAAATGTTTTTCAGTGTACTGCATTACATTACTACTGTTTGGTATAAAGTATGGCTTATCAGCACATTATGACGAAGACTGAGAGACACCACTGTGCCTACTGTCAGTTCACTGAATTCAACAGTGAGACTTTTTATTCAGCCAGCTTGTAATATGAATCTTTATACCCCTGACTGTTGTGAAAATGAAGTCAACTGAGATCACAAAAAACAGTCAAGAGGAGAAATCTATTACGATCTTACAGTAGATATCATTGTCTTATCATTGCTAGATAATGTGTAAAACCAGTTGAGGCTTCTGTAAGAATATATATGCTCAAACATTGACCACTCCTGAAGTATTTTTACACCATTGCAGCATAGTCTGTAGTGCAAAGAGAGGTCATAAACCAAACAGTGTTTTTATAGCTTAGAGCTTGTAATAAGTCCCATCACATCCCATGTGAGAAAGGGGATGTAGAACAGCTAGTTGGTAACAGCGATTTGGAAACTGGGCCACCAGGACATCTGCATCAGTAGTCAAACACAACAGTGAACTCCCATCAGATGGAGTAATACAGTTGTATTGTGCTGCATGCCAGTGGATGAATGCCAGTTTCCAATCCCAGTACGGGAAGTGACTGAAGCAACAATGAATTTCCATCTGAACACGGGCATGAATGCCCCTCACTAGCTATTGAAGCAAGTTTATTTCGCCCAAAATGGAACAGAGTCATCTCCCTGACCCAATGTTTTTATTGGGTTTACCAGCATTAGTGTATTATTTTAATCATAGCTCATTCGCTGTGAGCTGTTATTGCAAGCAGCCATAGGGTGGAGTTAGATAATCAATGAATTGTATTAAAAACTCGCACAAAAGCAACATCTCTCAGACACCAATGATGTTTGTTGTTAGTGTCCATTTGGTTTCTTCACCAGCCTCTCCCCCGCTGTCAGTTGTGTTTTGTAGTAACAGATGTTGTTAATACTGCAGTGACAATAGAAGTTCAGGATGTAAAAGGCAGAAGTTTGCATTCACTTTTTTTTCTTTTGCGGGCCATGCAGAATGGACAATCATGAAACCAAAGTATCTAGGAAGGAACACATCTACTGTAACTATTATATTGTGTTCCACAGATGGCACAATTATGGAAAAGATAAGTTTGTTTGCAGACTTCGTAAAGTAACTGCCTTAACACCTCTAATAGCAACATCTGCATGTAAGCGTCACTTGTATTCTGTCAATGAACATTACTTAATACTGTATTTTCAGTGCACGTACACAGAGGATGGACAACAGTGCAGTAGGAGACATCTTGTGTCCAGCAGGAAAACTTTAGAAATGAACACAATTAGCATATTCAAAGACTCTAGAATTTTTAATGAGGTAGAAGGAGTAGGTGCTTTTTTAGGGATTTTAAAATGAATTCTTTATGCTTTTTTTCTGCAGAAAAAACATATCAGAATATTCCAAGCAGACTATTTGTACATATGTTTCAATACATGTCTGGAGGGGATCTTAAATATTTAATTTCTTCCCCACTTGAAAAAGCTGTTTGAATTTAAGATTAATAGTCTCAGCTTTATTAGTAATAAGTATGCAATCTTTGCTTAACAGACTTAATGTCCCTTAAAGTGAGCTGCTATAACTTTTGCTGAACGCTTACAATTACATCTTATTAATAATGTGAAGTAAATTTTATTTATACAGTCAAATGTCACAAAGCTGCTTTATAATTTGTGTCTCGATCCATTCAGGACAGTGAAATGGCTACCCAACAATAGCATTAGACACCAAATGTTACCGGTCATACCGTGGCAAGTAAAAGAGTTTTGGCAAAACGTCTAACTGTTCGCATGCATTTTTATTACTTATTAAATCAACTTTCATTTGAAGAGGGATTTATTTTGTTGAAATGTTACATATTGTTGCTTTAAGTAAATTCTCAGTGCCATTTTTTGCCCAAGTAGTTCAATAACTTCAACAGCTGTGATCAAACAAGTTGACTGATTTTGACAGCTCTGGTTTTTAAAACTTCTTCATTTTCTAATTAACTTCCAGCCAGCATTACAGATCTCAAACAGTCCTAGATTTATCTTTCTGAAACTTGCAGACACCCTGGCCAGATAAATTATATTCCAAACACACCCTCATCTATCTGTCTCCAGTATTATACTTCATGTCTGCTCTTCATTGGTTTGTGTCTGTTTTACGCAGCAGCTTTTCCCTGCTGTCTTTTGTTTTGTTCTCCTTAACGGGGATTTAGTGTTTCTCACTGCGTGGCTTTGGGAGGGATTGGGGTGGTCAGGGGTGAGTTGGAAAGGTGTGCGTCTGCCTCCCCCACGTACCCCCAACCATAGAAGGGATTTATCGCTCATCACAGGGTTTATAAAAGGATTGAAAGAGATGGATAGACAGAAAGTCTACAGTTGACTGAGGGGAAGTGGAGGCGGCAGTGAGAGTGTTGTGGAGATAAAGGAATAATGTTCTTCTGGAGCTCTAAAACACTATAGTTTCCATTTAAGTTGACTATACATCATATTAGCATGTAGGCCATGCTTCCATTCACTTTTGTGAATCATTAATGATTCATTCATCATTCAGGTGATCATTAATATCTTGTTTTAACATCTGCATCAGTCTAAAGCCACATACAGCTCCCATCAGCTTCCTCACCAGTTACGTTCTCTGACCCTGATCCATGTCTCTCTCTTCTTGCTGCCGCATGCCGCTGTGGTCCTCTCTGTGTTTGGTTGACTTGATTAAATCCATGGTGTAATGGGAAACAAATTATGGCTTGTGCAGCATGATGAGCTGAAGGGGGGATAATTAGTATGTTCATCAACCTCTTCGAAGAGATGTGTGTGTGTGTGTGTGGCACTTCTCCCAATTCACACTCTTTCCCCTCCTCCCTTTTCTCATTTGTTGGATGTCTCCCGTGTGTGTTTGTGTTTGTGTGTGTGCGCAGCTCATGTCCACGTGTCCGCATGTCGTTGTTGTAGCGCAGACATCCTGGTGTGTGTTTTCACAGTGCAGTGAATTGTTAATATGTATTCACGAGTAGTTACTTGAAGCATTGCCACCAGAGTCATCAGTCTTTAGCCTGGAAGTGATCCGTCAGTTGCTCTAATGATCCAGCACACACACACACACACACACACACACACACACACACACACACACACACACACACACTCTCTGTCACTGGGTCTTCTGTCCTTGTCAAGCATGCCAGGTTTGGTAACTCTCACATATGGCCCAAGAGTCGATGCAACCTAATCGTCATCTGGGCAACGTCAGGGGAGAGGGTGGGGGTTCAGCAAGTTCTGATTGACTGACAGATGGACACCGGCAAGGATAAGCTGTGCTGCCAAAGTCAAGTGTGTGAAAAAAACTAAACAAAAACAAGAACGCATCCATAAATATGACAGATGGACTGTAAAGTTAGGTTTTAATGTCATTAATGTAACTCAGTCTGCATCCATTTTAAGAATCTATTTGTGAATGTCGCTGAAGCAAAAGATGACGAATATTATTGGATTTCTAAAATAACCCGTAAATTACAGGAACATATTAGTTGTCGTTACGATGTGAAGTATTACTGCTGAGTCACTGAGAGTCATAAGCTGGCTTTTTGAAGATTTATCGCCACTTTTAAGCTGTCTAGTATCAAGATGAACAAGTTTTGCTACGTGGTTATAAAAAGCTTTTCTTACATGACTCATGCTCTGTTCTTGTGTTTTTGTCCACAAAGCACTTAGGGGTATTAGTAGGAATTAATATAAATGATATACAAGTAAAAACAAGTTAAGGTGGCTCAAATTGTCTCTTCTACACTGTGTGTCTTTTTGCTGTTGTGTTTTTTAAACCTCTTTCTCCTCTTTTTTGTCTTTGTCCAGTGGTATTGGTCGAAACTGGCCATGGGCATCCGGTGGCAGCAGCATCCTGGCAGAGTATGGCACCCTGCATTTAGAGTTCATGCACCTCAGCAAACTCTCAGGAAATCCAGAGTTTGCACAGAAGGTAACGGACACACATGAGAATACATAATATTACTTTTTCCACACTGCATGATTTCCTCTTACACTCTTGCACTATAGAAGTATAAAAGTAGAACTCTTCACCCCTTTACCTTATTTGCCCCAGACAGATATTGATTATGTCACATTTCTTACAGTTTCTGTCTTTACAGAGTGTTGCATATAATCACACATATTCTGTATTTCCAATGCACTGCACAATGCGGTGCATAAAGTGATCTTTACTTGATGCGTTTGTGGTTTATATCTTTGATCGTTAGGTAATGAACATCCGGAAAGTACTAAATCGCCTGGACAAACCCCAGGGGCTCTACCCCAACTACCTGAACCCTAATAGTGGCCAGTGGGGCCAACGTAAGTTCTCCTCCCCCCTCTATGTCATCCCAACTGATTTCTTCTGTCTTGCCCGTCTCTTGCATTTCCCACTTGTTTTGTATTTGAGTGTCATGGCAATGCCTGAGTTGAGAACTCTTCCCTTCAGCTCATGAATCAGCTGTGACAACCAATGTGTCCTCCTGTGTCCATACTGCCACATAAAGTTAGCTATAAACTGATTTTATACTCATCCGTGTTAAAATTAGCTTCTACTAGACACATGCAAGTCAGATTTGGTGAACTCATCAAATACTGTTGGAGGTCGGTGGTTGACAGTCGCTACTTGCCATTAGCTTACTAATAAGACCATTGTCCATTGCACAATTTTCTTCTAAGAACTAGATACTCACATCAAAGCAGATTTATGTTGTCAGGTTTTGTAGGATACTCCTTGGAGATGCGTTTAATGGAGTTTTAACTGGCAGTAAAACTTGGTTGGTCTTCTCTGGCTCTGTTGTGGTGTACCTCAAGGCTCATCCCTAGGGCTTGTTATTTTCTTGGTAGTCTTGCTTCTGCTTAGAACAACCATTTGTATGTTTAATATTAACTCTCACTTTTACAAACATCAATCTGGCCAAATGAACTTACAAGTTTTATGCACACAAATACAAGACTTGCTCATCATTTCCTACAGAAGAATAGAGATAAAACCGAGATAGAGAGAGTTGGTAATTTCACATCTAAATACAGTGAAACTGAAATGGAAATCACAGTCTGAAATCTGTGAGTTAATAGTAACCTGGACTTCCAGGCTGATATCAGAAACATTAATATAATTTGCATTTATCACTTGAAGACTGTCACCAAGGTTAGACCTTTTCTTTCCCAAGATGACACTGAAACACTAATGCATGCAAATTACAACTCTAGATTGCTGCAATGCACTTTATGATGACCTATCAAAGAAAACTATTCTACACCTGTAATTTGTACTGACTAAAACCAGGAATGCACATATCCTTCTGATATAACAATCACTTCACTGGCTCCCACTCGGATTCAGAATTTGTTCATTTGCCCCCAATTATTGTACATAAATGATCTCTTATAATTCTTTGAGCTTCTAACACAGCTCTCAAATTCACTGACTTCTTTTTGTTAACTATACTGTCATCCAGAACCAAAACCTTCTATGGTGAGTAGAACTTGAATAATAAGTCGATGAATCGATTAGTCGGTCCATACATTCAATGACAATTCTGATGATAAATGTATCCCTCAAGTCATTCTTAAAGCAAAAAAGCTTTTTGGATTGTTATTCTGACAAAATGTATTTTTATTATGAGAAACATATAATTATTGTTAACTATTTTCTTGCATTTGGAAATTATTAAAAGATAAATTATTAAAATTCTCAGCAGTTTAATTGGTAATCAAGCAGTCCTTTAGGTGTATGTTTTTGACTATTTAGACTTTGAAATCTGTATTTAAAAATGTATTCTTGACTATCAGCTATGTAATGTGATTATATCATTTTGTCATATTTGTTTATTTATGTTAAATATGACAACTTGACAGACTATTTCCCTTAACTGATTCAGTTTTTGTTTTATCCCTCTCCTTCCATCTTACACAGTTTTATTTATCTTTCATTAATCTTCATTACTATTTCTATGAAATTCATTACTTGAAAAGCAGATTAAATTGTATGAAAACAGCCACATACATAATTAAGGTATTATTGTTTTTGGAAGTCTTTATCTCTGCCAACGAAAGCTGATGATAAATTAAAGCTACAATTTTATCTGTATTTTACAATAATAAGTGTTTCTCTTTAGACCTCCTCCTGATAATGGTGTAATGTACAATGACACACTGACCCAACAGTTATACAATCTATGAAAAACAAGATTGTCTTTGTTCAAGTGTTGCCTCTAGTGTCGTGTCAACTGTTCTCAGACCGTATCATCACTCTTTCCATTTTAACCTTGTTGACTCTCTTTACATCACTGCAACCCGCTATTTACCAGTGTCACTGTCAAGTATTTTTACATTCCCTCGACCCACAATTCCTATCTTTAACATCAGTGTGTGCACAAGTGTCCGTTCATGTGTCCGTGTTTCTGACAGGTAGTGGTAACAGGGTGTATAATTTTGAACCATTATCAGACTCTTCAAACCGTGCAGCTGAACAGGTAATGATGTTGATGATGATGATGATGATAATGATAGAGGGGTAAGAGTTTGAGGAAGGGGAGATAATGTAGGTGTGAGAGAGAGGGCATATGTAGTTACAGAAAGCGATTTACCATATATATATATAACAGAGTAGTGATGTAAGGTATAGTTTGGGAGAGGAATCCAGCAGTAAAATCCTCTCCTAATTCCACTTGTCATATGTCAGAATAGTAGCTGAGTAGATACAATGAAACTGACACTGGCAAGTGGCAGGAGAAGGTAGATATCAAAATCCATTTTCAACCCATTCTTAAAGCTGCTTTAAGTGATTTCTGACCACTAGACACCAGAAATTAGACTTCAGAACAAACTCGCAGTGACAAGCCACGACATAGCTACTATATCAAATTTAAGTTCTTAAAGGAATAGTTCGACCTTGCAGTCATTTAACCCTCTTGCAGAGGGTTAGATGAGAAGATTGACACAACTTATTTGTCTCCACAGTCTCTAGAGCTAAGAGACAGTTAGCTTATGTCACTGCGGCCCAGAGATAAAATAATAAAATAAAATACAAACTGAGAACAAGAAGGCGATGCGAGAGCGTTGCAATCAGCAAATACGCCTCTAGATGCCACTAAATCCTTCACACTGGACCTTTAAATAAACAAGATATAATGTGTTAATAAGCAAGTTTTAGAGGTGCTTTTTCCAGCCTTTATGCTAAGCTAAACTGGCCAGTGTCGGTCCAGTCATACATAATGTTCAGATATAAGAGTGGTATCAATATTTTCAAGTGAGTGAGAGTGTTGTCCTGGCAAGCTAACAACAGCAACCAGCTAGTTCAACAGAAACAGTATTTTTCTCATCACCTGTCAAATGGAAGTCTCAGTGTCAGTTTATCCTGAAGTCTATTCTGGGTAATTTGACCACATAGTGCCGGGAAGTATGGAGTCCCAGGAATTAATAGACAACATTAGAAAACATGAGAAAAATTACCCTTTAGCTTGCTGTGTTTTCTTTCAAGCCACCAACCAAGAACTGCAGAGATTAGAGAAATTAGACCAATAATGGATTAGAAATAACATTTTGCATATAAAATAGGACAGAAACATCATGTTCTTTGTCATTTATTGTTGTGAGCCTGTGGTGTTTGAATCAATAGGAGAGGACAAATGCTGAGGTGGAAAGGGAAATTAAAATCACCAGAGAAGAAATAGTGTCTCTCAAGTTGTTCTCTGTTGAGATTTCTTTCCCCTGCTGCCACTCGTGAGCTCTTCAGTTTAGAAATGAATTAAACTTAATTAGTCTTCATGCTTAATTGCTGTAGTACCAATTTTACCTTGTAAAGGTATCATGTCTGTTCAAGTCAGTTACTGTTCTGCAATAGATCAGGGCATATTTCTTTTGATGTACACAATACATTTGTTGTATTAAGTTAGAAATCCTTTGATCCAGTTTTATTATTTAGGTTTTTTTTTTTTTTATATATCTCCTAATATGTTTCAGAGTTTATTAGAGATTCTGTCTTGTTTTGTTTTTGATACCTAGCCCTTGATTGGGAGGGCTGTTCACGTCTGTGATGGTTAAATATGGACCTGCACCTCTGCTCTACTTACTTTTATTTCCGGATGAATAAAACTACTGAAAGTACATCCTCAGTTATAATTGTTGGCATTTAGCTGACACTCTTAACCAGAGCCAGTAACTGTGTTTTCATCCAAGTATTTTATGCAAATTATGACATATTCAATTAGGAATGCTGAATAGAAACAGCAAGTTTGAACAGAAAAATCTCACTCACAAAAAATGCTTTTATGCTTGTTTTAGTCAGAGAGGGGTTTTCATCTAAAAAGAAATTATGCAATAGTGATGGGATGTGTTGAATAAATTATGACCTAAGGATGTTTGCAGCCTAATGTTGTCTGAAAAAAATCTCTCCTCCACAGCCTCAAAGACATGCTTACCCTGTGTCTTTCATATAAATAAATCTATGTTTTATGTTTTACCCAAACAGCTGTTATGTCACCATGTGTGGATAAGAAATGTTGAGTCATAGTTTCCACCCTTTCTCTGCTCCTAATTATATATTACACAAGTGTTTGTACTTTAATTTGTAATCAATTTCCATTGCTTTTACAATCAGACAGTACTGTTTGATAGATCGCTTATCATCTATTTTAAAGTCTCCTCTGGATGGTGTGGGTGCTTCGTACTTCTAGTTTAATATTCTCCTAGAAGGCCGGGCACTCTTATCGCCTCAACACCAAACCATCTTCACCGCCAGCCTCCTCTCTTTTCTCTTCAAGATGATCACAGCTGACATTTAATCTCTGCGCTCCACAAACAGGGCTGGACTCTGTTAATGACACATGCATATGGATGAGCCTTCACTGACAATCAACAGGGCAAATACAAAAAAGTACAGCTCGTTCTGCTGGCTGCAGGCTCGCACCTCAGACACTCGCACATAACACTGTAGTATACCAGGCAGGTGTGCTCTCTCTGTATTAAACGCAAAAATCTAGCCCTGCGTCCTGTGAGGGTGATCTATGGATGGTCCAACAGTTGTAATCTAAACCAGCGTACATGTAGGAAGCCTGTGCATGTGTGGTCGATGTAGGAAGCCTGCGTGTGTGTGTGTGTGTGTGTGTGTGTGGTGTGTGTGTGTTATAATGGTTATTTATCTGTGTGTTGCAGATCACGTGACTGTGGGTGGCCTAGGTGACAGTTTCTATGAGTACCTGCTGAAGGCCTGGCTGATGTCTGATAGGACTGATGAGGAAGGCAAGAAGATGTACTATGACGCCCTGCAGGTAATTCACACTGCTGACATCCACACGCACGCTAGAGCCTCTCTTCAGTAAAGACAGAGGTAGTCGATTGATCAATTAGTTGATCGACAGAAAGATAATAGGCAACTCTTTTGAGAATCGATTAATCAAAAATGTCAAATATTCTCTGGTTTCAGCGTCTGATTTGTGAGAATTGGTTGCCCTTTTCTGTTTTATGTGATAGCAAAAACATTTTAATTACCAAGTGATTAATCAATTAATTGAGAAAATAGTTGCAGCCCTAGACTTCACATTTTACTACTACAGTAACTATTGTAGGTTTATACCAATTTTGCTGTTAAAACATTAATGATCACTGATTTTGTGTCTTGATTTGGAAGTAAATTTTAGATTTTGTGTCGAGAGAGTCGTCCAAATCTGATTCTTGTAACAACTGATCCATAATTTGTATTTGCAGCTGTAGCATGTGAAGTTTGAACACAAGGATGTGAAACATCAGCAGAATGTACAGCTGAGTCACCTAACTATGCGGAAAAAAAGAATTTAGTCTTATATTGAGTGTTACATGTTTGGCAGTGCTTAATTAAAAAAAGTTTATGCTGCTATAAATGAAGACCAGCTGTTGAAATGATGATCAGTCGAAATATGAAAAGTTTATTATATACTCTCATGCTTTCATTAGATTAGCCACAGTACCTGCTTCTCTGAAATAAGGAGCTCACTATATCAGTGTATATTATATTAACTGTAATTCATTATAAAAGTTCTCCTATTACTTAAGTTATATTTCTTATTTCTTGTGAGATTAATGACTTCATCTCCTCCTCTACATTAAGGATGTCAGCTCTTTGAATGCTGTACATTAGAAAGTCAGTCAGTATTAACGCTTACACCTACAGAGAGTTCAAAAGTTTAGTTTAAAGAGGGAAAGCTTCCACAAACTGTTTTCTGTGTTTAAAAAGCTTTCGTTTAGTGTCGATTGACAGAGAATTTTAGTGGGTTATTCCTCTGACAGCTGCAATTGTACAACTGAAACCGAAGCCATCATTTGTCGCCTATCTGCAGGTCCCTAAAAGCACCATCTGTGACTGGTGTTAAGCACTCTTTCTGTCCCAGCCATTACACCATGTTACAGCACTGATCTCTGTGGGTTGTAATTTACAATCTGCTCCACTTTTACCATTTTTCAAACGGCCCAGAATGAAACGTAACATTGCGTTGTGTTGTATAATATGTGGAAACTTTAACACTACATAAATAATGACTAGACAACTGTGAATGTATAATATGCAGCCAGTGTCCTCTAATTGGAAGCTGAATGGAGAAAATGAGGGTTTGAACTAGCTGTTTACACACAGCTGGTGAGCTGCATGGATTTCCTCCGCAGGGTTTTCTGTCCCTCTGAATCATAAATGTGCGTTTGATAATAGTGGACAGCAAACATGAGGTCAGCTTTAGATACTGAAAAGTGCTCCTGCTGTTGTATTTATCAGTCCCAGCAGAGGGGGGTATTATAGGAATCCAGTCACCCAAATAACCTTGAAGCCTGCGAGTCTTGTTCATGAGATAATAAAAGGAATAATTTAAACCATAAATATAAATATGAATATCTTTTTGATGTAACTGAGATCAGAAATTAAGTTTTTTTTGGACTCGTGTAGATTTTTTCTTTTGCTTAAAGTGGCAATTTTGTTTTGAAGTGTTCTCTATTGTTCATTGTTGGGCCAACATTTTCCAATATTTAATGTTTCCCCTTTAATCCTTAAGAGCCATATAGTGAGTTTGAACAGATGGGAAGATTATAGCACAGACGGAGCTAAACCCACTTTTGTATAAGAAGGCAAAGACAGGGAACAGACAGCCTCCTAAAGTGAGTATATAGACGACACACAAATATGCTGACAGCTTTTCAATGTTTAAACAAGTTGTCAGCGTAAGTTGTGACAAGCGATGGGTCTCTGGAGCTGAAGAAAGCTGATTCTCCCGATTGTTTCTCTGTAACACACTGGGGAGCAAATATATATATTACATGACGACTAAAATACAGAATTAACCATGCAGGGATACTTTACCCATAATCCCTCCCAATCTTCAAGGATTACAGGCGTTCTTGATTTATTTACCAAGAAGAGGCCGGATAAGAAAGAGCAGAAACAGGGTGAAAGGATCAGGACACCCAAATTACATCAAAATTGTTCCTCTTACATTGAATGCCGTCCATCCAGAGTCTCTTTGAAGCAATCATGGCTTGATTTCCCTAATAATGCACGGACTGTGTTGTGAGCTGTGTCACTGAGATCTGGGTTTTCTACTGTCTGTGCACTGTATTTATATGTGCAGAGGGAATCAGTCTTCTCTTTTATGGATGAAACAATTAACATTTTACTCTGTCACAAGCACACATATCCTGTCCACCAGGCACTAAAGCGTTTAATTGTTTGCGGATATAAACAGAAGTTACATAGACAGCAGAAAATTAGAATTATCAAACAACAAGAAAATGTGTAACTTGCTGCTCAGCTTGAAAAAAATACATATTTTTGTTGCTTTGAGCCCCACAAACGAGTTCTGTTAAATGGATACTTTAGTATTTTTCAACCTGGTCCCTATTTTCCCATGTTTTAGTGTCAAAGTGACCGATTTTTTCAGCATCCGCGAAACTGTCTGCAACCTAATCCTTCCGGCCATATGCGTATGTCAGTGTGCAGACACTAAACATGCACATTCTTGCCCCTGAGAGCCTCCGATTGTCATTAAAAGCGTCGACAATATTATGGATTTTTAACAGAGCAGTATAACAAATGTTTCTGGTTACTTTTTCAACAAAAATTTCTTTCTCAGTGGGGATCGTCTCCATAATGTAATCAGACTCTTACAATAACAATCTGAGCCTGTCAGTGTGAAAAACAAGCTCTTTGAGGCTACATTCACACTGCGCGCCTTAATAAAAGACTGATTTATTGCTCAGATCTGATTAGTTTGTTTGGCTGTTCACATTATTATTTTAATTTGGTCCATATCAGATTCCAGTGTGAACAGGTCACGGTCCAGAAGTGACGAATGTGGATTTAGAGCATCTTAAAAGTCAGGAATTCTGACTGTTTACACTGAGGTCACCTTGCGAAAAGACAGGCCTGTATCTGACGTGGACCACATATGAAGTGACCTGAATAAGAAGTGAAAAGATCAGATTTGTGCTGTTCACACTGTCATGAAAAAAATCAGGTCTGGGTCACTTAGTCGGCAGACTGAACACAGCCATAGTTGGATGTACGTTTGACTTACCTCAAAGGATTAACATGGTGCCTGTTTCGCTCAATACTAGACCCATTCAGAAACGTCCACATTAGTCACTCAGACACAAAAACATGGGAAAATAGGGTCAAGGTTTAAAAATATCAAGGTCGTGGCAGATATCGCAAAACTACTGTATGTGGAGCAAGTGGTAGTCTGGTTAAGATGTAAAATAAGTTTATAAGACCAGCTGTCTTTAAAATGGAAAAACTGATCCAGTTGCAGCTCTTTTATATGATGCAAGTTCAAACAAAACAGTGAGATAACTCAAGATGTTGCAATAGAAATAATTCTACATGGAAGAATAAAGTCATATTTAAAATCTGCACTCTCAGATGTACCTGGGAAGAGGATGATTTCAGATTATTGGACCAAAGACGTTTTTTTCTTTCTGTTTGCATCATCACTTCAATCAGACCAATAAACTTTCTTTATTTTTGTCTTCCAGGCAATAGAAACCAACCTGATCAGGAAGTCTAGCGGTGGGTTTACCTACATAGCAGAGTGGAAGGGAGGACTCCTGGAGCATAAGATGGGTCACCTGACCTGTTTCGCAGGGGGCATGATCGCTCTTGGTGCTGATGGGGCGCCCAGCGACAAGACGGGCCACCAGATGGAGCTGGCCGCCGAGATCGCCCGGACCTGTCACGAGTCTTACGCCAGAACCGGTAAACACGCACACAAAGAGGACAAAACAAGTCCTGTTTGGGCTTCAGCTCATTGTTGTCTGAAGTACTTTGTTGACTGAGACTAAAACAAACTTTTAAGAAAAGTTTTAGCCGTATGTAAAAGAGTCTTAGTTTAATAATCAGCTCCAAAGTTACTGAATGAAATAAATACCGGGAACTTATTGCTTATATACGAAAGGTTTAGGTTGTATAATGCTGTCCTTGTACTTGTCCTCCTTTTCAGCAGTAATTAGCATTTATTCAAAGAAAATGGGTCTTATTGTTATCTTCAATCAGAAAGTTTTATTATGAGTCATCATGTTTTAAAGACAGGTCTGCAGAAACATTACCGCTAGCAGCTGAGTAACATATTCTTCTTTTTACCTGAAGTTTGTAGCATTATTCTGCACTGCACCTATATAATTCAATGTGACATTACATAAATATATAGACATATAGAGAGACATATTCTTTAAGGTTATCTTAAAAATGTTTCTCTCCTCTAGCTACGAAGCTGGGTCCGGAGGGCTTTCGTTTCGATGGCGGCGTCGAAGCCATCGCCACCCGCCAGAATGAGAAATACTTCATCCTCCGTCCTGAGGTCATAGAGACCTACATGTACATGTGGAGGTTCACCCACGACCCCAAATACAGGGAGTGGGGCTGGGAGGCTGTTCAGGTAAAACATTTGTTGAACTCAAACTTAAATTGCTGTTTGTCATATTGTATTTAGAGAGAAATTAGCAATTTGGAAAAAAATGTTCTTATTTGTGTTCTTACTGCACATGGAAGGAAACGTCTGGCGGCCCCTGTGGACACAAGTGGTAGTGCATTGTTTAATTGATTTCAAGGAAACTCCGACCAAATCCGCCCCGGAGTGAGGCATTAAGAATAATTGTATAGAAACAGTCTATGCACTAAGGGTCTCGATTGTGTTTGTGGGTCACATAGAGGCAGCTCCTCACAACCAGCTAAACACTCCTCGCAGTACGTTTAAGTACTTAAAGAGCTTTATTGATGTTGCAGTCACTGATGTCTGCCCTTGTTTCTCTCTTCCTGTTGTGCATCTCTATCACCGTCCCCCCCATTCAGGCCTTGGAGCAGTATTGTAAAGTAGAAGGAGGCTACAGCGGCGTCAGAGACGTCTACGCTTCGAGTCCCAGCCACGACGATGTGCAGCAGAGCTTCTACTTGGCCGAGACACTCAAGTAAGACACACAAACGTCTCTATACACACACCCTTCACTTCTGTCCTCTTATGATTGTGCTGTCATCGCACTTTATGGGAGGGACAAGGCCCCTGAATCCCCAAACTGACAAACACACACACACACACACACACACACACACAAAGTTTGATGTTGTCATTCATTCAGAATAAGCTCTAGAGAGTGGCGGAGGTCACTGGCAAGGTTACTTCACTACACTCTGTCTCACACACACACAGGCAGCTTTATGTTTCAGCCTTCTAACTCAAGGTGGATACAACGTTAAGCTGAAAAATGAGATAAAGATTGATAAACAGAATGAGGAATAATGTTTGAGCCTTCAGTCACTCAGACATTCAACATCATGACCGGAGGGGTCGGTGTCTGCAGTAGACGCTGTAGCTCTGTCAGACACATGCCGCCACTTAAGAACAGTTTATTAATCATAATATACTTCATGTTTTGGGTCAAAATTAAGACTTTTGAAGATTAACTCTTAATCAGTGGCTCCCAGCCTGCCGTCAGGATCCCTAGTGCTGTTCCAACGTACTTTTGGGGGGTTGTGAGATGGTTAACAGGATAGCAAATAACTGCTGCAGATACTAGATCATTTCACCTCTTTTATCCTTTAAAAAATAGAAGATAGATGATATTGCTTTATTTTATTTATTGTTTAACTTTAACATTTGTTTTATCAGATAGTTGACATTTGAGATCTGACAGGAAATGAAAGAGCAGTGGGGGACGACGTATAACAAAGGTCTCTGGTTGGACTCAAACTGGGGATGTTGGGGTCACGTGGTTTTCACATGGCGGTTTTCACTTTGCTGGCAACATTTCCCAGTCGTTACTGCCACAGTAAAATTACCTTTTTTCACCTGCAAGACAGGAAAAGACTAAAAATCATTATTGTGCGGGCACAAATGGTCAGAGATCCAGCAGGAGCAGGATTAGAAAGAAGTCCTGCCCGGGGCTCTAACCAAGACCACCAGGTCGCCCTGACATTGCTTCATTTTAAGGGGTTGTGTCATATTTATGCTGCAGGTCTATGAAAGGTGACCTGCTGAATCGTTCAGCATGAGTGGTGTTGCACAGAGGTTTTTTATATTGCAGTGGAGCACCACTGCCATATTCAGGGTGCACATGCACACCACGAGCACAGGGGGGGTGACAGGAAACACATTTGTGTCGACTGTAGAGGACAGTAATTTAAATTACGTGACATAAATATACTTCAATAAAAGAGTTGAAGAAGCTGTAGGCTGATGTTACCAAAAACACTTTAAAGATACTGTTGATAAAACTAAAATAACTAATGCTATCTGGACATATCAGATCACATATTGTAGCTTTAAGCTTGAATAGACTTTAGATTTCTCCAGAGAGACATGTACTCATATGAAAATAATCAGAAAGAAATGTTGTAGAAGTAAAACACAGTGAATGCAGAACAATAACATACCACTCACATCTTTCAGCAAACACATATATTTGATCTATTAATTTGTAAAATGATCACACAGGATACTGTGATACCCTTTTACCACCCACTTCTGCTACGATCTACGTTACATAAATATGACCATGTATTGATAGATTTCAAATTAACCACAATTAATAAAAAAAAATAGTAAATTTAATTAATGCAGACAATCCCAAAGTGTTGGTGTTAAAGGGTTAATATACTCAGAGGTTGCTCTACAAGAAGAATAGAAAGAAAAAGAGAGAAAGTGTGAAAAACACCACTGGCAGCTTCTTTCTCTGAATAGTCGCTTGATAGTTTTACTTAACTGCCCTCGTGTGCCTGTCTGAGTTTGTATGTGTTAATGTATGTGTGAGGGTGTGAGTGCGTAGCCACAAATGGCTCTTTAAACGTGTCGTCAGCCACACAGTGTGATGTGTGGTGGCTAATAGGGGCTTCTCCTCTCTGATGGCACTCCAACTGTGGACTGAGGACGGTCTGTTTAAATCATGACGAGTGATCCCAGCTACAGTTTAACGAGCGTGTGTGTCTGTGTGTGTGTGTGTGTGTGTGTGTGTGTGTGTGTGTGTGTGTGTGTGTGTGTGTGTGTGTGTGCACTCTCTATGTGTGTGTCTGCCCATGCTACTTCATCCGTATTTCTCATATGTAGATCGTATTGGAGCAGCCAGCCCTGGCAGACTGACAGCTGCACAAGTTGTCTGTCGTCTATTTCAGGTTCTGTCTGTTATTTACTGAAAGTTATTCCGTTTATTATAAAATGGGAAGACTCAGAAAATCTTTATTTTAATACCGTCAAGTGGCTGAATCTTTTACTTAAAAAAGTGCTCTGAAAATGCTATTTTGTAGTTTAAATATTCACATATTTTAACTTTAAAATGTTAGGGCTGCATTTTAAGGTTGTTCTTATTATGGATTAATCTGTCAGTTATTTTCTAGACTAATAACTAAACAGTCTGTCAGAAAGTACTGAAATACGTCTGTCTCAGTTTACCAGAGCAGAAGGTGACATCTTGAGACATGTTGTCTCCAACCAAAAGTCCAGAACTCAAAAATATTCAGTTTATTATTAAAGAAAACTAAGAAAAACGGAAAGTTTTGATGTTTGCAACCAGAAAATAATCTGTAACCAGTGAATTCTTAATTTAAATGTTGCATTTTTTCCCTAAAAAACAATGAATCAATGATCAGAATAAATGCAGATGCTGCTGATTAATATTACCAGGATATTCTCTATTATGATTGTTGGTATAAAAGGAGTATGACGAGGAGCTCTTATTGGTTTTTGTGTTTGGATAATAACAGCTGGTTGGGAACTCTAATTGGTCAACTAACCTTCGCCACCCTCTTGTTACCACATCTGACCTTTTCTTACACTTGTGCTCCAAACGTCAAAGGTTGAGTTTAATTACACGTTAATATAAATGTTTCTCATTAAACGAGTCCTTCTTCTAGTTCTTGTTTTTAATCCATAAAACCAGTTCAGCAGAGTCTCGGTGCTCCAGATTTACCGTCCTCTCTGTTTCCTTTACTTCCCATCGAAATCTTTATGACCTCCCCCCCTCATCTCTCTCCTTCCACTTCTTCTTTTTCTGTCGGTTATTTTATTTTTTTTCCCCCACGCCAGACAGCTGTTGACAGGAAGTCAAGGTTAGCCTAACAGAGCCTGATGGGGGCGAGGTGCCATCCAATCCGCCTTTTTTATAGGCAGTAAATTTTAACAAGCGTCACCTCTACTCCTGATTACACCACACACACACACACACACACACTCAAAGTAAGATGTCTGGATTCTCTTTGCAGGTCCAACAGCTTGTGAAAATACCAATAAAAGTGTTTTTTTTTTCCTGTTGATCAGTGTCGTAAAACCCTATTCATCCAACATGAAACAGTCCAAACACGATATGAATGCCTTCGTAGGCGCGCCATAATGTTTCCAGGAGTAGCAGTACGAAAAGAAAATGTCTCATTAGCTCCCGACGGGCAACTAGAAGAAAAATATGAGTGCAATTGACCACCAGCCTGGACAGCAGCACAATAATTACCTCATCAGTCAAGCCACATCATATCCATGATATCAGAGATGGACCTCACTGGACACTGAAAATATCAATCCCATTTAGCAGCGAACCCATAACTCTAATCCTCCTAATGTTACTCGGGGATCTTGGCATCGTGCGGAGCCACTTCCAGTACTTCTCTTCCCACGGCTGCCAAGGACACGGCCATACTTCACACTGCTGCCTGCCTTCAATCACTCACTGCTTTCTAGTGGTTCGCTGGCAGGCGGAGGAGGACTTGAGGGGGGGGTTCTTGTTGTGGAGGTTGAGGGCTTCGTGGATAACCAGCTCCTCTGCTGAGTCATTAGTTTTAGTCAGCTGACACATTTTTGGGTTTTTTAACTGTCTATTCTTCGGTGGGATTTTCTTTCACAGAAATTCTTCTTAAAGAACTCATTTGCTTTCTTTTTATTGATCTCTGGGGGTTTTTTTTGCACTTCATGATGAATTCTGAGGTGGTGGACCAGCAACTCGCTTTATTTACTTTTTCTTTCACACCACTCCTTTGTTTTATAATGTTATTGAAGTTGTTTCATAAGATCTGATGACATTGAACCGCAGAATTTCATCACTTCTGGTTTCATAAAGTGGTCGGAGGCGATCCGCACCCATTCTTCCCTCTCAGTTCCACATCTGGTTCTTTTTTTATTTTATTTCTTTACAGGACTGCTGTTAATTATTGCAAAAGCTGAACACAACTCAAAATAATATCTAAGACACTCAACAGGAAACAGTGCAGATCCCAAAACGAGTCATCTTCATAAAGAAATGGAGACGGGAGCTGAAACGTGTGAAAGGTTTCATTGAACCAATAAACTGTCGACTTATAGCTTTAGTCCACTCACAGTGTTCATTTTAATTTCATTTTTCTTGCTAATATTTTGTTATTTTCCTTGTTGTCTTTGTTTTTTCCCCTTTTGTTGATGTGTTTTTACTTCCCTAAAGGTCTTTTGTGGTAATGGGGCCATGTTTTGATGGTTCAAGTGCAACAACCAGCGGTGGAAAAACACATACTGAGGGTTTGGGGTTGAATAAATACTCTGAGCCAGATTCACTGAAGGTCTCACAGCTCTGAAACAGAAGAGTGTGAAAACAATGACTCAACAAATGGAGAAATGGATATTCCAGGAAATAATATTAGATATTTGGGGGGAATTTTTAATGCAGATTTGAATTAAACTGGTTGGAAAGTGTTTTATTAAAGTTAGGATTTTATTTATTTTCATGTTTAAAGGGGAATGCCACCATTTTTTACACATGAATGTCTGTTTATATGTCTTTGGAGGTACTGTTATAATTACTGTTGCAAAATCTGATGAATTGCCTCAAGTGATGTTACTTAAAATGTATAAATAATATAAAAACAGAGTGGAAATGAGTTTACTAGACCGCTGAGACAATCAGCTCGAGGCAACATTATTTGCTACTAGCATAACACACTCGGCTCAATGCCTGATCTGTCTGTGGTGGCGTTGCATTGTGGGTAATGTAGGCGGCGGGTTTTGACAAGGAAGAAGAATGTGTGCGATGAAAAAGACTGTAACTCTGGTTCTGCTGCATCAGTGTCCACCGTGAGTCCGACAGTGTCTGTAGGAGGAACAACCTCTTCAGCATTATTCCATAATCTCCTCCAAGGTACTCAGTTTGCCCTTGTTTCAGAATCCTCAAATCCCCTCGCAGTGGGACTTTGAAATTAGAAGTTAAACTGAGGATTGATGTCTGTTTCTGGCACAAACAGAATCCAACAACTGTCTTCGCACTGCCTTTTTTTAAGTCACTGTATGCAGTGCATGCTGGGTCGGGAACAGGCAGACAGGCACAGTTTAACGTAAGGTCATGAAAGTACCAAACTGTCGGAGGGCTACTCGTGCTGCATGTTGTGCCAACATGAAAACAGAGCCCTTGATCACAATATCTGAGCCTCTGTATTTATTTTTAAAAGCTAGCTGATGCTCTTCCTTCTCCAGGGTGCGTTCAATAAACTCTTCTCCCCCCTGTGTCTCCTTCAGGTATCTCTACCTGCTGTTCTCTGACGACGACCACCTACCGCTCGACCACTGGGTCTTTAACACCGAGGCTCACCCTCTGCCCGTCATCAAGAAGGACAAAACAGACAGACCCAACGAAGTGGAGTAGCGGGACCCACCCGCGCTGACACCTAAAAAAACAAGTGCGAGAACCTCTGATCCTGTATACCTGAGCCTCCAGCTGTCCATTCGGAGTCACCAGTGGTTACAGATGCCTCTTGATCGGATTTCACTTTTCATTTCTAACGGGATCAAAATAGAATTCAAGCTCGCCGGCGCTGAATTCTCGCTGTAGAATCCAGTTTTGTGTTCGTTTGTTTGTTTTTTGCTTTAGTTTCATTCAGCTCTGACCTGAACCAACGTTTTTACTGCCGGATAACGGAACGACGCCAAAGAATGTAGTGACATCGTCAGAGAGGCGATGAAATAATCTCTGAAGATGTCATTACGTTGGGCAGGTTTTCATTCAGAGGGACGGTCTGACCAGTTCTCACATTAATCGTCAGTGATTTTGTTGTTAGTAGCTACAGCTGCGCTCTGCTGTTTTGTTGTTCGTGAAGGAGAAACACTGACAGACCTGGTCCGTCGTCTCTCTGGTGTTTATGATGTTTTTTGGGATCGGAGCTCTGGGCGCCAAACTCCAGGAGAAAAAAAATAGAAAACTGTCGTCTGAGGATTACAAGGCTGACTTAGTGAGCTTAAAAGACGCTCCGTTCACTTCACACGCGTCGTCGTTTCCTTCTGCTGTACCGCTTCAGTATCTGAATAGAAACCGGTTTCCGTGCGCCAACGCTGGTGCCGCCACCGCCAACCGCCAACCGAACTTCTGCATCGTCTTCAGAGAAACATTTGCTTTTATAAAAACACCTGGTTGTCTCTGTGGGAGTAAAGGAAAAGACGCAGCACAACCCGAGCCTCTTTTTATAACCCCACAGTACTTTTAGACCTCTGCTCTGCCCCCCCCTCCTCAGTTCCCCGAACCCCCGACAGCTTCCTCCTCCCTCTTGAGTTTTGGTGTGACACAGGACGAGCAGCCACACCAGCTCTCTACCTGCCAGTGATTTCACTTTCTCCCCACGACGTTTACACATAAGCTGCCCCTCTTCTTCTCCTTCTGCTGCTCATCCTCACTTCGTTGCATCTTGTTCTGGCTTGTTGGATTCTGGGTTTATTTCTCTTTCTCACATTTACACCGACATTTCTGGGGTTTGACCGATACAGGTGTTTGGGGTTTGCAGTTTTCCCCCTCAGGATCTTATTTGGCGCTAGCTCAATCTCAACGATTACAGGGTTTTGAAATCAAATGAAATCGTTGTTTGACTAAAAAACAAAAAGAAACTCACCTCGAGGTCCACGTTTGTTGAGCTGTCAACCACATTTCACGGTCTTCCTCAGAGTGTTCTATGCTGTAACGCAGCACGGAGATGCGTTGGGCTGTGAGATGGAGTTAATAATCTGTAGAAAGCAAGTAAGTGGACCTTGAGTTAGCTTTTTTAGTTATTGACGTATGTTTGGAGAATCAGGAATTAACTTTGACACTCAACGTTGTCGTATAAAGATCTTCAACATCTTATTTCCTTCCTCCTCCTACAAATCTTAACATCCTTCAATTTGAACATTAGTATGTATAGAAACAGAAATCTTAGACCCTTGTAGATCCACTGAAGAGGACACTGATTGATCATATTCATCAGCAAACCCTATCTGTCTGTCTGTATCTGTCCAACCCTCCGTCCTGCAGGTCCAGCGTAGTGCCGGCTGTAGGATCTTCTCTCCTCTATGAGGAGACGCGGACACTCGACTTCGCTGTAATATTTCACCTACACACACACACACACACACACACACACACACTCTCTCTCACACACTCACAGAAGAAGCCATACTGATTATATACAGCTTTACCATTCTGTCTGTGGTTCCCGTCATCCTCCACACTTCGGGTGAGGGGCGTGTGACTGTACTGACACAAACTGTGTTGCTGTTATTGTGCGTTTTCTGTTCAGCTCATTCAGTTGGCTTTCTCCTGATGCCACACAGAACTGTAGCCAGATAAAATCCAGTTTAGTCTTCGACCTAGTGCCTTCACTGTGGAGGAGTCGGAGGGAAAAGCAGCTCACACAAACACAGAAGAGTCGAGTTTTAAATAGTCTCAGAGCTTTAAGTGTAGTTCCCATGCCTCTGATGAGGATTATACCAAAAGTAGACACTGATTAAAGGATAATTCCTGCTATTTAACTGTATATCCAATGTTTGTTATTAGTAGGAGATCAGACATTGTCCATCTGATAATCACATAAAGAAAGTCTTGTACTGTTCTTTCTCCTGGTGAACGTCTGTCAGGAACCAGTTATGTCCTCGACTACACTGACATCTAGTGGTGAGATCTTCCAATTACAGTGATTACATGAGACCTGGGCTAAATGCCCTGAGTCTGAACAGTCAAGAACATCATGTAATAATAACTTATATATATATATACATCTGATTGTCACCAGTGATTCTAGATGGAAAACTTATTACAACAAAATGTCGACATGTTGGGAAAAAACTGTTTTATTTAAACGTCCCGTGATTACAAGGTAATGAAAGAAGATTAAATTGAAGTATAAAAATGAATTAAAGCTGCAAGCAGCGATGATTGTGACTCTGCAGCATTATGTGGAGACCCCGCCCTGAGAAATATACCCAAACTGACTCATTAGCTGGTATCTTCCCACATTTTATGTCCCCATACATGATTCTGATCACAGGAGGTTACACTTCCAGCTGCAGTCGGTAACTTTTATCAAATATTAACTGAAACTGTCACTATATCCTGATAGTGGGAGATAATCTGTGGATCCTCTGTGGCGTTTGAAAGAATCCACCAATCAGAGATGAGAAAGATAGTTGATTGTTGAGTCTCTTTCCTTTGTTTTTCCACAGATTATCTCTTATTTTTATAAAAAGTTACCTGCTGCAGCTTTAAGGCCCTCTCGCAACAAGAAGAGCTCAAATTGATAGAAATGAATGAGAAAATAGCAGAGAGCATGTTCAAAAACTTCAGTGTTTGTGCTGCAAACTGTGTTTTTTTTTTTTTTTTTTTAATTGAATCCCAGATAATGACCACCATATCAGTCGACCTCCACGTTGAAACTGAATATCGTGCTGAGTTTCTGAGCTGTGAGAAATCCCTTCACGTTCTTTATATCACTGTACAGACGACAGTGTCCTCGTGTGTAATCCGTGTTTTTGTTTAGTGGGTGTAGAGGCATTTATTATCCATGTGAAGTTGTATAGTAATGGTTGATTTTGCCGATTGTATTAATTTATTCTGTAGTAGTGAACATAGGACTCGGAAGAGTTTGGGAGCTGACCCCCAGGTGGCGCTGTGGCTTTACAGAGTTCAAGACTGGACCCTGAATGTGGAGCTTCACATCTCTTTTTGTTGGGTAATTGTAATTTATTGACCAAAGCAGACATTGAACTGATGTCGGGGAAGAGTTTAAAGGTCGCATTGTGTTTTTAAACCTCATTAATGAGCTGCTGAGCTGCCACAGTGGGTAATATCACCAGTACATTATCTGTGTTTAAAGAAGCTACACATGGTACCTTTTTTAATGACGTTTGGGAAATGTGGTTTAATTGAAGAAAGACGTCAAAGGAAGCACCTGGGAGTCAATCCAACAACCTTACTGGAGGATAGGAACTGTATGAATGTACCATCCAATGTGAAGTGAAGAATATTTTTATGTGATTTTTTTTTTTTGTGTCTTCTTGTGTTCACTTCTGTGCTTTTGTTGCTTTTGTTGTTTTTCTTTTATCCTGGAAAGCACAAAAAGTTTAAAGCAACGTGTGCGGTTCACGAGCCCGCTGGTGGCGACGTGGCGTTGACGTAGGAAATCATCCAAATCTGCCACACGAGCTGTACACACACACACACACACGTTGGTTTTCATTTATAGTTGTGAGGATCTGACACATAAACACAGACATTTAGGAACGTTCAGGATAAACCAGATGTTGTTTGTGTTCAGTACAGTGTTAAAACACTGGCGCTGCTTCATAAAGGTTGTTTAAACTTGTGTTTCTGTGATGGAAGTGAGAAACAATGCTATAACGTAGCTCAGTGTTCATTATAAAGACACTTTAATATCAGAATGTTTTGCCCTATTATTGAGCTGATGATCAATGAAAATGAAATAAGATCATTTGATACGACACACTGCAGCAGTTGAGTGTATTTTAGTTGCTCGCTAACACAGAACGGAGCGGAAAATGAGAAAGTTTGAAGGCTCCATACAGAACTTCATTTAAAAAAATACCAATTTTAGGCTGCATTAAGGTCTTGATGCTGCGTGGATTTGAAGTTCAACCATTAGTTGTATTCTTATGAAGATTTCTGTAATGGTGGGGGTTGGGTGTGTGTGTTTTTTTTTTTGCTACAGTGAGTATGATGGTGTCAGTCTTAATGGTGAATTTAATGAACATGGTTTCCTGGTAGTTCCCCTCCCCCCATGTTAAGATTTATTAGTGCGATTCAACAGTCTGACATTTGGTTTTTATTGTACTTTGGGGATTTTAAATATGTTAAAGTAACCGTGTGTAGACTTTTTGGCATTTTGGAACCGTGGAGGCTTTTGACTTGTAACTTAGGCTTAAAGGGCTGATCCACTGCATCCCCCCCCAAATAGGAAGGACACAAAACTCAGCCCTGCCCTTCTGGATTCAACGTCAAAGTTTTAAACATGTTTTTTTTTTTACTTTCTCATGTGGCACCGATCTGGTGGTTTCAGTACCTGAATAGGACGGAGAGGCAGAATGTGTTTACGTGTGAGCCGTCAGTGTGAGCGCTGCATTAGCTTCACATATCGGGACATCAGGCATCTGCTCGTCTCCATACGCAGACGTTTCGTTATTTTAATTTTACTGTGTTTTTTTTGGGTGATTTTCTGAATATTGTGTTGACGATCTGTTGCGTTCCAATGCCTTTCTATTGGTGAATATTTTAAAGGGGAATGCCGGCCTTTTTAGGAATTCAACATGAAAGTCAGTCCCTGTGATTAAATGCACCGCTTCCCCTTAAAAGGAACTCCTAATTTATATCACCCAGACATCGTTAGTTTTCTTCACCAGGGGTCACTAAATCACTAAATATGGCTGACCTGTCTCGGGACTCAAATAATCTGAATTTTTAAAACTGTTGGCATTGTCCTTTATTGGTTTAAATGCGTGAAACCAACCTCAGAAATGTATCTGTACAAAAATATTGCTGATAATCATTCCATTGCACATAGTTTACTTTGCGTTTATATGCAATATTTTAATTTTTGTGGGGAAATCTGTTGTGTTAATATTATTGAAAAAATGTAAATATTCCATTCCGGCAAATGAGCCGTTCTACATTTATATAAAAATCTTCTGAGTTTATGGATTAAAATGATATTAATAAGCAGCAGACTTTTTAATAAACTATATTTGTTACACTTCTATTGTGAATAAAAAAAACTCTTTTAATAAGTGGTGGTTTTGTGTTGTGTTTTTTTAAACTTATTTACATATTTATACTTTAACATTTTGGATTTTTAGACTAGTTTAGCTTTAAAAACCTCAGTTTTACATGAGGATTGGTGCAAACATTTTGCAATTAAGACATAAATTTACTATTGGATTGATCCAAATATTAGATTTTTAAATGAACTTTATGGTATTAATTCAATCTGTGCTGACTGATTGAATCATTCCTGCATATTTTTAAGTTTTTGCTCAAAACATCTGAAGGTTTTTCCCCATTAAACAGCCTTCATGCACAGAAACAACAGCAGATATTTAGAATAGACGTAGACTAAGTGTGAGTTACAGTCTGTACTCACAGTGACTGCTCTTCACCAAAGGAGGAGAAAAAAACAAGACGGGTGCAACACTTTCCTCTTTCAGGACTTTGTGTTTAAATGACCTGAGAAAACAAATTACAACATGACTGAAATTACAAAATACAAAACTCACAGCATCAAACTGCGGCACACACAAACTTTAAAGTTCAACATGTCCGGAAGATCTTCCGATATAAACATACTCATACTGACTTTATATCGACTTTTATCAGTTCATCAAGTTTTTGTTCATTAATGATCTGTTTGGGTCAGAAAGGTCAGAGCCAGGTCCATAAAATCACTGATCACTATTAGCTGTGTTCAGTTATTAAATGTGTCTCTTTCACTGCCTTTATTTGATCGATCCGCTGTAGAGAAACAGGAAACTGGTGAAAGAGAGACGGGGAAGACGGCAGCAAAGGGCTGCAGGTTGGAATCAAACCCGGGCCGCTGCAGGTTGGAATCAGCATTTGTTTATATGGAAAACAAAAAATGTAAATAAATGGGTGCAAATCTCTGGAAGAAAGCTACTAAGTTAAGATTTGAGTTCAGAAGACTGTCCTCTCTTATGTGTCCTAATACCTCGAACGCATTCTGACTCAGTTTCACCACCAGAGAATCACAGAGGTTGCCTTCAGAAACTGTTTCCATGCTGCTAAACACCAGGCAGCCATTTTAAAAAAGAAACATTAATAACAAAGTAGTTGTCCACAGTTTTGACCGGTTTGTATGAAAAGCTTATTCATCTTCCCGTTATATTGTGAGTGATAAAAAGGAAATGTACAGGAACTATAATAAAGATAGTCATCGCAGACAACCGAGGCCACTCCGTTTCCTGACACAACTCATTTATTTCTCAGACTAATTCTGGGCGTCTGATCTCTCCTCTGAAAGATTGAGAACATTTGTCTTATCTGGCTGAGCCACAGCTGTGGGACACGAGCAGGAGAGCAGAAATAAGAAAAGATAATTTACTCCAATTGCTCATCCTCAGCTGTGTCCCGCACAGATAAAAACTACGTTGCCCGTCTGTGGACTTCAGCCCTTATTGCTTTCAGGCGACTGTGACCAATCAGGTCTAATATTCTCCTGATACGAGAGTTTTTGTGAGCTTTCTTTTATATTCAGGCTCTTCCATTTCTACGGGACGGATGCTACAGACAGTGAACTGATGGTTGAGACATTCCACTGGACGTATTTGGAGGCGTTACAGTGTGAACTCGACACATGAAATCACTGCAAATAGAGAATGTGCAGGTTATTGTAAAATCACCTGTTGGTGTAATTACAATACAATGTTTAAATTAAGACTTACGTTTAATTATACAGAATAAAACTAAATAAAAGTGAATAAAAGTTTGTAAACAGAAAAAAAAACAAATGTGAAATGACATTTAACATGACATTAAAATGAGAATTTGTCATTTGAACGCAACATATTTAAATTAAATTGACTGCAGAACTCAATTTGCTGAAGCTGCTTTTTTAGGAGATTTAATTTTAATAGCAGGCTTCTGATCATCACTTCATTCAGTAACAACACAGCAAGATAAACCCATCCAGGATTAATCAGAGAACCAACAGCAGGTTAGTCTCAGTTAGTTCAGACACATTTGAAGAGTTTAAAAGGTTTTAAAAATCCAGTTTTATAGTCTTTGGGTCTAACTCAACACATTTATCCCCAAACTCTCGGCATGATGGGAGGTTGACGGTGATGACACCAGTGTTGATTCAGCCCCCTTTCAGTTATTCTTCTTTAAAAAAAAGCTCCCTGCACTCCCAGATACTGTTGTAATCTCTAAATACACACATTATAGTACGGTGAACACAGTGGACAGTGTGTGTGTGTGTGTGTGTGTGTGTGTGTGTGTGTGTGTGTGTGTGTGTGTGTGTGTGTGTGTGTGTGTGTGTGTGTGTGTGTGTGTGTGTGTGTGTGTGTGTGTGTGTGTGTGTGTGTGTGTGTTGACAGTGAGATGCAGAAACCAACCTGTTCTAACTCTGCTCAAAGGCTTTTATTAATGTAACTTGTACAATTCTCTATATGTAAAGTAATAAATGTAAGTATGTAAGTAACATGTGCTGAAAAACAAGAATATCTGATTTAACATTAAATACTGTGAGAGATATAGTCATATAATCTTATATCGAGGGGATCAGACTGTCAGATTGTTGAGTTCGAGGACACGTTGTCCTCCTGAGTGCCACCAGGGGGCAGCAGAGGACCACAATGTCTGAGGCTGACCACCTTTAACTTTAATCTTCATCCTCATTGTATATGTTATATTTCTAATCCTGTAGAGTTTCCCTCCATCAGCCTCAGCCCAACTCTAAAAGGATATTTTATATTTCTGCTCCTTTTATAACTCTTGTCCCCCCGACCCCCCCGACCCCCTCTCACACCACTTAATCCTGATGTCTGAACACCCAGAGATCTCTGGGCAGCTTAGCATCCCCATTACTAACAGCCTGTAAGAGAGGTAACCCCTGCGGTACCGGAGAGCGGGAGAGATGTTTCTAGATTTAATTGCTGGAGGATTTACAGGCACAGAGGTTCATGTTGTTATAAGAAAGACTAAGCTTTCAATTTTAATCACAATGTGAAAGATATGTTTGACAATGTTTGTGGTTTCAGCAGCTTAACAGCTAAAATAACCTTATAACTGCAACAGGTTCAATTGTTTTGATTTGTTTTTTATTTATAATATTTACTGTTTATTTAATAGATCAAACTGTGAAATTCAAGTTTATTACTGTTAATAAATTAACAGTTAACGGTGAAAAAAGTATTTGTTCTGTAATTTTACATGGATTTGTTTGTTAATTGATAGATATCTTAATTAATAATTAATAATGAATAATTATGGATTTTTTTTATTGTACCGGTAAACTGTCAATACAGTGAAAACAACAATAATTATTAGAGTGCTATAACTTTTAAAATTTAGATTAAAATCTTTAAAATGAAATAACAGCACTCTTTAGTCTGATTATTTGTATTACAGCAGTGTTCATCTGTATTTATACAGAATAATTTAATTGTTTTTACATGTGTAAAAATCTTTTTTAATTTAAAAAAATGACTTTGATGATTTTATGTCAAATTGAAGCTAAAAGAAAATAATGTGTTTTTATGAGTGTGTTCTTTAGGTTTGCACTACATCTCAGTAGATATTGTACTTTTTACTCGATTACATTTGTCTGACAGCTTTCTGATTACAATTTTCTTTCTTTTTTTCTGTCCAGTTTAAACCATGTATCTTCAAATTTGGTGATTTTGAATGTTTGTGATGAACTGAAGGATGAAATGTTTTTTATGGGTTGAGAAACGATAAATAAAACAATTTAAAAACCCTCTTGGATTCGCTGGAGAATCACAAAGCTGAAAACAGCAGTTTGGTTCAGCGTTGGACCCGAATGGAAGACACAGAATCGTCGGTTTGGTGAAGTTAGGAAGATTTATTCCAAAAAACTAGCTGCAACAATGAGGACGAAGATGAAGATGAGCAGGTCGACGAGCAAGACTGGATGGCTATTCATTTCCTCGCACATCCTCGCCTCCTCTCCTCACATCTTAGTCCCTCCAACCGGAGGAAGCGAGCAGAGACACAGAGGAGGAACACAAGGTACAGCCATGGCCGTGAGCTGGTTAGAGATACGAGGTTCTCAGGGGACAGTAACACTGAAGACATATGATACATTGCTGTAGATTAAACCACCTGACAGTGTATAAAGCAGTTAAAATGAGCTCAACCTTAAAAATCTACTGCAGTAAAAACGCAGCACACACATTAATGCAGCAGTGATATTAATCCAAATACTTCATATATAATATTAAACACTGACACTTACAGTGGAGTATTTAGTGGTACAAAAGGTACAAAGAGTTGTTAACTGGTTATGAAACAGTCTGAATTTAACACTGATGCCTTTACATGATGCACATAAACAAAGGAGACCGTCAGTGAAAGGATTAATGGCTGCCATTGGGTTTGATTCCCCTTGAAATCAATGAGATGCTGCAGTGGACGCAGTACCCCTTTTGTCCACAGGGGCCGCCAGAATCAACACAGAATAAAAGTCCCTTTGTTGCTGCTTTAAGTAAAAGATCTGAGTCCTTCTTCCACTGCTGAAAATGAAATTTAAAAACAGATAAATGAATAAATAGGCTGTTAAATGGTTATTAGAGCATTATTAAAGGTTGTGAAGACAGTGCTATAGTGCTCTGGGTGTTATGTTGGTGCATTGTCCTCTTTTTTTTCTGTAGTGCCCTAAAAACATTCCCACACAATATGATGCTCCTCAGTGAGACTCCACACTGAAAATTATGATTTATGAAGGTCCAAAATCTTCATTTACTGCTCATTAATGAGCAAACTACTCAGTGTCTAATTATAGAATCAGACTCAGCTCTGGTTTGAATGTTTCAGCACCATGGAGAGAGACAGCCGGGTTGCCTGTGAGAGCTTCAGTGAGATGATGTGAATGAGTTAACCTTAAGTATCACAATATTAAAACCACGTAACTTGATTACTTCTACAGTTACTCTTGGATTACCTCGACACATCAATGCTCAAGTTAATGCAGATTAAGTAAAATGAGGAGTTTTCAACTAAATAAGAATGTAACCTTAGAAAAGAAAATGGAAAC